AATTAAGAAATAAAGAAAGTATAGTATATCTTCAATTGCCCCTTCAAAAATTGCACCAAATTATCATTTCATATTTCACTACAGGTCTATTTTACTATAAACAGTATATATCCTCTAGTTACGTTTTGACATAGAGGGCATTTCTTTCACTTTTTTTCTACAATTAACAATATACTATACTTTCTTTATTTCTTAATTAGTTGCATAACAATACCATTCATACTACTATTCCCTTTAATCTACTAATACAACTCTTTTCCCCCTTCTTCCCCTTTTATCCATTTTCTCTTGGGCTCTCACGAATTTCACTTTTAATCGTGTTTCTTCTTCTCCCCCTTTTTCCTAAGAAGTGAAATGCCTTTGAAGGAAGTCCAGTTGCCTCTTGAAAAAGCACCTTAGGGATCGTGTTAGACTCTCAGTTCCTATCAGCCTCAACCAACCATTAGTTGGGAATGATAAGCGTGCAAATTCCAGATCCTTTGAAGGACTTGAGATCTCATGTCTCTGCCCAACATCAAGTTCCTAGGTCAATGAATGTTCCTCTAAAATTTTCCCATTACCACTTGATGGATGCATAAGCCCTAGACCAGGGGTTGGCCACCTGCGGCTCTGGAGCCTCATGTGGCTCTTTCATCCCTCTGCTGTGGCTCCCTGTTGCTCGTCGGCTCCACAATTGATAGGGTTTTCGGTTAGGACAGGTAGAGGGAAAAGGATGCTGCTCTGGGAGGAGACTATGGTGGGGGAACTGGACTTCTGACGGGCTCCAGAATTAAACAGGGGGCTTCCGGTTAGGACTTTTGTGTTTCTGAGTGTTTAAGGTTGCTGACCCCTGACTTAGATCGAAGGATGGGCAATCTTTGACTTCCAGATGTTGCTCTTACAACTTCCAGCATCCCCTACTTACATTGGCTAAGACTTCTGGGAATGTACTTCAAGATATGCATTTGATTATTTTATTGGCCAGCTTCCTTAGAGGGACGCTGAATTGCACTAATCTCTCTGTCCTTATTGAATCTGAGCCAGGGTTCAATATCCCTTTAAGATTTAAAATACCTTCTTAGCGTTGGAATTTCTCCAGGGCTTTTACCTCAGATCTTTTCATCCTCACTGCCCTTGCAGGGTTAACATGGAATAATCCACAGATATTTTGCCCTGCACTCCTGGGGGACGGGGGGGACAAATCAATAAGCCAAAGAAATCTCCTAAACAAATGGGTTGAATGTAATTCTCTAGGAGCCAAACCACAGCTCTGGAATTTATGCGGGAGGAAAAAAGTTAACAATGGCAAATGAGGTAGAAGAAGGATGGGATGTTATTGGAAGCTAATGTTAAATGTTATTTATTAGCTTGTTTTGGACATCCTGCCCCCATCTTTCCATGCCAAAAAGATTATTCCAAAGTGGTGTAAAAATGCTTTCGCAACAAAAATAAGCTAAAATAATAATCTCCCAAGGCAGCAAGGAAATCTAGAGAAAAAGGACAGTTGAAATAAATGCATCCTGTTTTTTTTTTTTTTTTTAAAAAAGGAGATGTCTTCTCTTGGGGAAGCCACTTCATAACTTACCTGGTCAACCCAAAAGGTCAAGATGGGCTTCTTTGATAAGGCAATCCATTAGTTGAGGCACCAAAGGCTAGGTTTTCATAGCTAAGAATGTAGTAGGGCAGCCTCTTTCGATTTCAATTGATCTTAGGCAACTTCCAGTATGTACGGCCTTCCATTCCCAGAATTCCTTGGGCAGAATATTCATACATGAGAATTCTGGAGATTGAGATCCAAAACAGTTTAGAGAGAGAGAGAGCCAGATTAGGGATGGTGACTCTAGAATGATCAAAGAAGCTCCATGCCAGGGTTCCAAATAGCATCCAAAAGTAAATCAGAGTCCAAGGCAAATTATTGCTCAAAGTTCCAATTTATGAAGCGAGCCATGTTGGCACATCTGGGGAAACCTGAATCTGAAGGCTTCCCGGTTTTCTCCACCTAGTTGAAAGTTCAAGATCTTGCCCCCATACCCACAAGTCTATCACATGGTCCAATCTCCCACTGCCACGCTGGCAGCTTCCACCCATCCAGTTCCGGTCAAGTGCAGAGGTGCAGAGACAAAGGATGACTTTGGCTTTCTAGAAAGAATGTTGTTATGGCTGCATAGCATCTAACTTCCTTCCATTGCCCCCTCCCATTTTCCCACAATAGAAAATGCATAGTAAAATAATAGAAAGTGTGGCAGGCCAAAGATTCAAAAGAAAAGATGGCTGCAGGCCTGGCACTGCATGGAATCCATGCAGTGGTGGGATCGTCCCAGTTTAACAACGGGTTCGGTGATTATACGATTTGCACACGCGTGCACAGTTTGAAGAAATCTTCACTTTCGGGTTTCTTCTGAGGAGTAACACAGCTGCACGAATCAGCTGAGAAGATAAATGTAGCAAAATAGTGTGGACAGGGGGAGCCCATTTAATCATTGGGGCAAACCAGTTCGCTCCCAGCTGATCGTCGGAGCTACTGGTTCACCCAAACTATTCCTTACCGGTTGAATCCCACCCCTGAATCCATGGGAATTGAAGCCTGACACACCTGGGCAATGTGATCATAACTGATCAGTGTGTAGGGCACAGTATTCAGATTTATTTATGTAGCTTTGTTGGCATAGCTAAGAGGAGCGGTGTGGTGGGCTAGTGGTGAGGACACTGCCTCACGCTTGGAAGGTTGAGAGTTCGATCCCAGGTAGCGGCAGATGTTTCTCTTCTAGGGCACAAAGAAAAAAAAATTATCTGCTGCTGTGAACTCCCCATGCTGTCAGGAAGGGCAGACGGCCAGTAAACGCTCAGCTGCATCCAACTCTACCCCTAATTAAGCGATTACAGGGTTATAAGGGAGTTTTACCAGTACGGCTAAAACCTTGCCTATGATCATATCATTTCAAAATGATCTAGATAATGAATTTTCTTTTTCTTCTTCTTCCCTTCTTCTTGAGTGCCGTTTATATGACCTTCGAGCAGACAGAGAGGTGGCTATTTATTCCAAAGAAAGCATCATCTTCGGAGCGTCCAGTGTGGATTTTTCTCTTAGTGGTGAGATGTGAATCCTGATGTATTTTCTTTTCTCAGGGAACTAACAAGGAGGAGACTTAAACGTGGTCTCCTTCCAGTTTAGCTTGGCTGGTGATAGCAGCATCGGTTAAGTTAAACTCTTCCAGACCTTGAGACTTAAAATAATCTCTCCTGATTTGGTCCTTCAACTCTGTGGCACGACAAAACCGCGGTCCACTAAAGCGCGCCCGATTAAAGCGCGTCGCTGACGTCATCAGCAGCGCGACAACAGCGACCGCGGAGAAAAAAGGGCGCTTTAAAAAGCGCTTTGAAAGCAAGCCAATTCACGTTAAGGTAAAGGTTAGGTTTAGGTTTAGGTTTAGGGTTAGGGTTAGGGTTAGGGTTAGGGTTAGGTTTAGGGTTAGGTTAAGGGTTAGGGTTAGGGTAAGGGTTAGGGTTAGGTTTAGGGTTAGGTTAAGGGTTAGGG